CGCTGCGCGTGAAGCGCTTGGTGCAGAGCGGGCAGGGGAAGCGCTTCTCGCCCGTGTGCGTCCGGTGGTGGCGGGCCAGCTCGTCTGAGCGTGCAAACTTCTTGTCGCAGCCCGGCCAGTCGCAGGCAAAGGGCCGTTCACCTGGACAAGGACAGACAAGCAGTCAGCAGAGAGGACGGGTACCCTCAACGTGTCCTAATTAGGCTGAGCCTTTGTTTTCTTTTTCTTTCTTTTTTTTTTTTTTTTTTTTTTTTTTTGGGCCTTAGCACTGAGCTTCACTCCAGACCTTTATTATTTTTTATTTTGAGACATGTTCTCCCTAAGTCATTAAGTTGCCCCACAATCCTCCTGTGTGCAACCCCACCCCAGGGAACCCCTTTGGTTTAGAGGCTTTTGTTTTTTGTTTTGTTTTTCTTTTTGAGACAAGGTCTCACTAAGTAGTTGAGACTGACCTGGAACTCACTAGGTAGCCCAGGCTGGTCTCAAACTCACAGCGATCCTCCTGCCTCAGCCTCCCATGTGCTGGGATTACAGGTGTGAGCCACCATGCCCAGCTAGTTGAGGCTTTTTATTTGTTTGTTTGTTTAAGGTGTGTGAATTTGAAAACCTGAAAACTGGGCTGGGATACAGCTCAGCGTAGAAAGTATGCGTGGGCACACCTGGGTTTGCCCCACAAAACTACCAAAATTAACAGCGAAAAGGGCAAACTGCAGCAAACTCAACTCCCACCCACCCTCTAAGGGCCCAACACAAGGCCTAATGAACATCTCCTCTTGATGTCAAACTTTCCGAAACAGGCAGAGCACCTCAAACGGGGGACCCCAAGCCCATGCCTCCCCTGCCCCTCACCCAAGTGGGACCCTATCACCGCGGGAAGGGTCCCCTAGTTCTGGTGTGGCAATGCCCCCTGACCCCTAGAACCAGGGATTGGACTCTGGAACTCGCGCTTGCCAGGCATGTACAGCACCACTGAGCTACATCCCTAGTCCCTGTGTGCTTTTCACTCCAGCCCTCCCAGGTATAGTGGTGGATGCTTGTGATCCCGGCACCGGGGAGGCTGAAGTAGGAGGATCACCTCGAGTCTGAGGCCACCCTGGGCTCCACAGGGAGTTCAAGTTCAGCTTAAACTACACAGTGAGGCACTGTCTCAAAGAAAAAAAAAATCCCAGTACTCTGGGAAGCTGAGGCAGGAGGATCACAAATTGTTGGATTCCAGCCTGGGCAAATTATGGAGACTTCAGTAAAATCTAAAAAAGGGCCATGGGTGGGGAGAGAAAGCACAAATTTTTCTGTGGGAGGGGTGGGGCTGGATAAGGGGTGGGGCTTGGCCACCAAGGCCAGCTGGACTCACCCTGCCCCCACACAACAGTGGCCCAAGGCAGGGGGCAGCAGCCACCCAGCAACTTCCTCTGCAAACCTCACCCCCACCCCCAGCGCCTCGCTCCTCCCGTGCCCCCAGACCCACAGTCAGCCCCCACTCTGCTCCGTAACTGGGTCCTGGGGATCAGGGCGCTGAGACACCCAATCATTTTGCCTTCCCCATTCCTGAGAGGGGGTTGGAATCCCGGATAAAGGAGATCATGCGCATGTTTTGTCCCTAGTGACACTGGGTGGAGAGAGTAGGGAGAAAGTAGGAGCTGGTCCTCATGGCCCCGAGGGCTAGCCTCAGGGGACCCACAGGAGGACAGGGTGGTGGTCAGCTCATGCGGGCTGAAGGGACCCAGGCTGGGCCGGGAACCGCCCACCGATAAGGGACTGATACCAGGATGGATTCAGGTAGCAGGAAGTGAGAGGAGTCAGGGATGGGACCCAGAAAGGGGGGTGGGGGCAGAAGACTTTGGAAGTGACAAGGGGCAAGAAAAGCCAAAGCAGTCCTCGGTGACCTGGGGGAGAACTGGGCAGGGCTGGGTCCATGAAGGAGCCCAAAGAAAAACCTACACACACACACACACACACACACACACACACATGCCACATACTCTGTTCAGGGCAGTAGTTTGGTGTGCCTGTAGGCCGTGCTCCTCACATCAGCGAGACACACAGGTCCCATGAGGCTAAGACCCCAGGCAGAGGAAACCTGGTGCCCCCTATGGCAGTGAGGAGAGATAGCAACTGTCTCCAAGGCCATCAGCTGCCCCACACCCCAGGTCTCCCCTAGGAAGGCCTTGGCACCTGCTAGGAAATGGACCCCACAGGACCGTGTTACGACTCTCCCCCACTCTCTCATTTTAGATAAACGATCCCCCCTCAAATGAACGATCACTATGTGACCAAGCAGGATATGAACTTTCCATCCTCCCGCCTCAGCCTCTCAAAACGCTGGGATCACAGGCGTGTAACACCATGCCCAGCCACGCCGGTGTGTTCACAAGACCCCGAGGCTCTAAACAACCCCAGAGAGGACCGCCATCCCTGCCCAGTCCCCAGGGAGTTCAGTTTGGGGCACCCGACCGGCGGGGGTCCTGGTGATGGGGTCAGCCATGTACTCTTGCCATCTTGCGCTGCGCGTAAGTGGAGGCCAGAGGGGAAAGGGGCCGTCCCGTAGCTGGTCCCCCCCCCCCGCCGCAACAGGCTCACTTCCCCTTTCAGCACGGCGGGTCTGCCGCTCCCCGCAGCCCTCCACCCCTTAGTTCCACTTTGCCGCGAGCAGGGTAGAGGGGTAGGAGGGGAGGGTAGCCACCGGGAACACAGCTGCCGCACGTAGGTTGGTGGCGGCTGCGCAGCGACATCCGCAGCCCTAGAGGCCTAGCCGGCCCTGCTCACGTGGTCCTGCTCTCGCCAGGCTCGGGGAGGGTCGCCTAGCTAGCCCGGGCGCCTGCCAGTCGCGGCCCTCAGCTAGTCGGCTGGGGTGCGCACGTGCACACGTGGGTGGCGGTAACTGGGTGCGTAGCTTCCCGCCCCCACAACGTTGGCCTGAGCCCGCGAAATGCCTAGCTTGGGTCCTGCCACCGTCTCCCACGACCCACTCGCAGGGAGGGGCTGAGTTAACTTTGGGGAACCTAGATAGAGGTGGCTCGGAGCTGAGCCCGCATGGACAACCCCTCCCACCTGTCCCCCACTCCCAAACACAGCCATTCTACCTTTCCGAGCTACCTGACTGCCGGAGGTGGCGCAGGAGGAGGATGTGGCGGGTGGGGACCTCTCCGGAAGGGTAATGTGGGAGGAGCCGCGGTGGACTTGACCCTCTGACTGGGGCGGGCCCGGGTGAACTGGGGACAGCCGGGGCAGCCTCGGTGCCAAGCCGGCTGAGAAAAATGGAGAGCAAGTCGTCCTGAAAAACTGCTCCAGGCCCTGTGCCGCCAGCAGAGGGGGACCTGGAGGTGGTCCAGGCCAGGCCAGGTTCGCTGTGTCTTTATGGGCCCCAGGGCAGGGAGCAAGGTCCCTGGGTCTGGCAGCCCAGCCTGACTTCCTGAGGCTGTCTAGGGGGTGTGGGGCAGGAAGGGTGCTGTGGCTGGCAGTGCCTAAGCTTGCACAAATGTCCACCCACCGGGAGGGGCGGGCACCATGGGGGAGGGACACTTCCTCTTTACAGTTAGCCTGCCGTGCCCACCAAACCAGTGGCCAGACACATCCTTGGGGTGGCGTCCCCTCGATCCTTCATCTCCCCTGAAGCCATGTGCCAACCACCGCCTATCCTGCTGCCACTCGCTGCACCCCGAGCCTGTACCAGGACTAGTGCAGTAGCCCAGCAGCACGGGCCCTGGCCTGGGTTCTAGAGCTCCGCCCTTGCTCAGGATCAAAGTTGAAGTCTTCCCCTGGACTGCTGTCTGCTTTCACGCAGCATCACCCTCAGAGTGGTCTCCCCTAGCTGCTGGTGACCCCCACCTCCCACCCTCCTCATCAGCTTTTGTGTCTGGTTTGCATTTCGTGGAGGTGGCATCTGCCCCCCACATAATGAGGAGGAGAGGACAGGTGCCACCCCTGCATCTCATTGGACATCTGGGAGAGGAGGCACAGGCCCAGAGGACTGCACGCTGGCTTCCAGCAAGAGCATCGGCAGCGAGTGGGCCCCTTCACCCTGCATGCCCAGCGCAGCAGCCCCGGGCACTTTCCTCTCAGGGACTCCTGGGAAGAGGATGTGAAGGAAGGACACACTTCCAGGCCAGGCTTCCCACCCAGCTGCCGGCCCTCCCTCCTCAGCAGCCTGGCTGGTATCATTCACCGACTCCCGCCCATCTGCACTCCCTTTATCAGGAAGCCTGGCTGGGGGGTAGTTATCGCCCCCTGCAGTGTTGGGGGGCCCTCCCAGCTCCCACCAGCTGGGATCCTGCAGACCGTCCCAGCTGCTGTCCTTGGAGGAAGGGGCTCAGTGGGGGGAGGTGGCACTGCCCACCTGACCCTAACTGAGCTCACAGCAGTGGCTGGGGTAGAGGTGAGAATGCTTGGCTTGAAGTAACGGGGTGCTCCCCCGCCAGGTCTTGAGTTTCCCCACGTGTCTCTCCTCTTGGACCTTTTGCAGCAGTGTCCTAGCCACCACCCTGCTGACCCCTCGGGCCGTCAGATCAGAAAGCTGGAGTCACCAGCCTCACCTCTCCCCTCCCAGACAGGGCTTGGCCCTCAAGCCCTCTTCCAACCTAATCCCTCTCCATAAACGGATTTCCCTCTGCAGAGCCCAGTCTGCCTCCATTCCCCGCCCTGGGGATTAAACACAGCCCTCCACCTTGCCTGATCCAAGGCTCCCCACCTCCAAATCCCTGCCCCAGGGTGGCACTGCGTTCCTTCCTTGGGACACACCATTCCCCGCAGTGCCTATGCTAAAGTCTGGCTGAGAAATCTTTTCCTCCAAGCACCCTGTCCTCCTCACCAATACTCCTTGTTACCTTCTCCCTGCCCCCATTTCGAGAGTCCTAGAGACAGGGACTGGGCTCTGTCACCACTGGGCCATGCACACCCCTGACACAGAGCAGAAAAACACTATTTCTTAAGACTTAAATGAATAAGATTTTTTAACAACCGTGTAACTGGGGGGGGGGCTCTACAACCCCCCCAAGACCCTGAGTGACGTCTGGAGACAACTGTGGCTGTCACACTAGGGGTGCTGCTGGCCTAGAGTGGGAGGCGGCCAGGGACACTGCTCAGCATCCTGCTGAACCAAGACCATCAACCCATTGAGATTTGACTCCAAAAGGTCTCAGTGCTGAGGGGAAGTCCCAGGTTATCACAGCGCTCCCAGTTCTGAGTGCTGTCTCTGGGGAGGGGTCCGGACACCCCCAGAGTCACACAGATGACTGTGCTGGGTACTGGGGAACCGGGAGCCTTCCGGGGATGGAGGAGGTTCCAGGGCTCAGGAGCAAGGAGTCGACAGCCAGCCTCTCCTCCCGCCCCCGCCCCACTGCTGGCTCTCTCCGTATCCATGGCAACATCGTCAACATCTCCCACAGCTTCCAAAGTCCTTTCCGCCCCACGCAGGGGCTCTCGGAAGGGTTAGGGGCTGTGGGCCAGAAGCAGGCTCTACCCCAATCCCTCAGTGATAGCACATCTTTCCGACCCTTCCAGCCTTCTCACCCCCAGGACCAAGGTAATGAATGGTGTACAAGGCTTCACATTGCCTGGCCCCCAGCTGTCGGCCTCAGTCTGCTGTGTCCAAAGGACCTGAAACAGACAGCCCTTCCCCTAACACCGAGGAGAAAGTCCTCAGGCAAAGGTGGGTGGGGCAGGATTTTCTCTCCCAACCTGTGGCACTCGGGTGGATCTGCAGACAGCTGATGACTAAGGATGGCTCCTCACCAGATCTAGGCCGAGCTACCCTAGCATGCCCCCTGGACAAACGTGGTCTCTTTGCCACCTTCCTTCCTCCAGGGGCTAGAAAATCCAAAAAAGCCCCTTTCAGTAAAAGAAGCCCTTTCTGCTAACTGCGTAGTGGTCCTGAAGGCTAGGGACCCTGGTAAGGACTAAGCGTCCTAGGATCGCTCTCCTCAACCTCAGACGTTTGTTAGAACGTGAGCTTCTGGACATGACTTCCACAGCCGTTCCCCACCCCACCCCCCGCCCGTGGGGACCCAGGACCTACCCTCCTGTGCAGGGGAAACACTGCTCCCAGCCCCCAGCTACGCTAATGTCTCCTCCCCGCCTGGGTCTCACTGCTGCACAGGGATCACCATGTGGACACGCCAGGGTCCAGCTCAGACCCCGGCCTTCTCACGTTTTGGACGCCTCCTCTGGGTGCCAAGATTGGAGACAGCCTGGCCTTGGCCTCCCCCTTCACCCCACCCAAGAAGGTGGATAGGGGTCAGTAAAAACCAAACCAGATCAGTGCGGTGAGGATTAAAAGCGGCTCGGGGCAAGATGGACCAAGGAAAGCAAAGAGTGAGAAAGTCAGAGTTCCTATCAGCAGGTTCCTTCTCCGAATCGCTGTTCAAACCGACAGATTCACCCAGAATGAGACAAGGCACTCTGGAACCCCAGAACGCAGCCTGGAGGAGCGCCTCTGTGCCCCCCTCAGCCAAATTCCTCTGCCATCTTCACAGATCCTGCCCTCAAACACCCTACTACAGAACAAGAACACCCAGGAACCTCTCAGCACAAGGTGGCGGCTCCACCCCCAGTCCTATCCTCCCCTGGGCTTCTTCCAGGGCCCTGGGACCAGGACACAGGCTGAGTCGGAACAGTGGGAAGAACAGAAAACAGGTGCTCTCCGAACCCACTGCCCATCCCTCCCTCCAGCTCTCTACTGAGGTTTCTCACTTTGGCCACTCTGCCTGGTGTCAGAGGCTCTATGAAGTGCCTGGGGTTCATCAGCACTGTTTCCGCTTCCCTGCACGCTCTCCCAGAGTTCCCAGACGGGAGCCCCTAAACCAAACGCCTTTTCCAAAGGTGTTGTCCAAAGCGACCCCCACAGCGACCCTAAAAAGACGACATCCCTGGGACCTTTACAGACGAGAAATGAGGCCGGGAGCAGCTATGTTCCCTGCTAAAAGGTGGGACAACCAGGATGTTCCGCAGCTCGTTTCCAGACCCCCCCTTTCCCGGAAAGGTCAGATTCTCCAATTCAGGACCTAGGCCGACCACTGAGGTCCACCTTCCCGCCACCCACTCCAACCCCCAGACCGGATGGTGTGATCCTCGGGAGCACGGCGGGAGGGGCTGGCAGCCAACAACGAGACCGGCGCGCATCCAGCTGGGGCCAGTGAGTGGTTGGCTCACTCCCCAGCTCGAGCCTGCGCACCTCTTCGAGGGTGTACAGAGAGGGCAGACACGCCGAGGACCCTCTCTGCACTGGCCCTCCAACTCGAAGCTCAGGCCCCAATGCGCACTACCGGCCGCACCCTCCACCTTGTTAAAATAGAGAGAACGGAAAGAAAACGTGCCGGGCACCCCCCCCAACCCTGGCCCCGCGCCAGGCGCTCAGCCGCCATCCGGAGAGAATCCGAACGGCCTCCCGGGTGGAAGCGGCGACGCGGATCTCCACCCTTTACACAGATAAGGAAACTGAGGCTGGGGGAGGGGGAGGACCGTAGAAAACCCTAAGAGCGGTAAACTCCAAACGCCCCCCGACTGCCCAGAGCGGAACGCAAACGAGAACCAGGACCGACAAGCCAGACCCACTGGACGGTCTTCCGAGCACGCGATCGCACCCGGCGCCGGGGTCTGACTGAGCCCCCTCCGCGCGCCGCCCGACCG